AGGCAAACATTGATCTACAGGTGGATAGATAGGTAGACAGGCTGAACTATTAGGTATGTCTATGTAGGGGGGAGTGTGCCCAAGACCATGTATAGGGTTGGCAGACAATGTTTCTACAAGTGTATTTGTATGTTCTGTAAGAATTCTCAGGTATATAGTAGAGCTGACAAGGGACAAGGTTGTAGTCATTTCTTGGTTGCAGCCAGCTACCCAGAGGGAGCAAGTAGTTGCATCTGTGGACTTGGGACCATAGTCCCAGGGGATATCAAGCTCAATAGGCATAACATACTACACAAAAACATTGTTCCACACCCTACTTTGGCAAGTTGCAATGATGTGTCTCTCCTAGTCCAGAGCAAAGAAGGATGAAGAAAACCAAAGATACATGGAAACAGTTAATCCAAGCGACTGGTACACCATGCGATCCTCAGTCTCTACGATTATGAGACTAGAAGAACTAGATGGTGCCCGGCTACTACTGTCAATCACTTAGAGAGGGATCTATGTAGGAGGGATCTATGTAGGAGATCCTGGATAGAGTGGGAGAATAATGTGGAACAAAACTAAAAATCATTAAATAGATAGATAGATAGATAAGGGACCAGGTTTGCTGGTCTGGTAGAGCCTGATGGAACCACTGAGACTATGGCCCCTAGCTGCCATTCAGGTCTGGAATTGAACCTACTCCTGTGGCTTCTAGCCAAACAAAAGATAGGCATATCAGCTGAATATTTACATCAGGTAGATACACTCCTTGGAGAGATCAATCATGGGAGAACAGAAGGGAAGTGTGTGCACAGGGAGAAGTCTCAGGGGGCAGGAGTGCATAGAGGGATGGACACAGGGAAGAGGTAACTATTGGGAGGAAGTGGAAGTGGAGCTATTGGATTGTGGGAAATTTCAGTCAACGTCATGAGGCAAAGTGTGTGTGAGCTGCTGTGTGGAAAGTGGATTTGCTCTGTAAACTTTCACCCAAATCACAATAAATGAAAAAAAAAAAAAAAAAAAAGAAGAAGTTGCAGCTCACCTCTTCTCCTTGATTTCAGTCCCGTTAGACCCTGAGCATAGAACCCAGTTTGAGCCACACTGGACTTCTGACCTAGAGAATTGTGAGCTAATAAATGAGTGTTATTTTCAGCCACTAAGTTTATGTTGTTGTTGTTAGGTGTCATCAAGTTCGGACTCCTAGTGACCACATGTGCAACAGAGTGAAACACTGCCCTGTCTTGTGCCAGCCTCACAATTGTTGCCGTGCTGGGGCCCATCACCACAGCCAGTGTGCCAATCCATCTCACTGAGGGTCTTCCTCTTTTTTGCTGACTCTACTTTACCAAGCATGACATCTTTTCCAGGGATTAGTCCCATCTGACAACATGAACAAAGTGTGAGAGATGAAGTCTGGACATTCTTGCTTCTAAGGCGCATTCTGGCTGTACTTCCTCTTCCTCTATCCTCCAAAAGAGATTTGTTTGTTCTTCTCGCAGTCTGTCGTATTCCTCACCAACACCACAATTCAAATGCATCAATTCTTTTGCAGTCTTCCTTAATCATTGTCCAGTTCTCACATGCATATGAAGCTATTAAAAATACCATGGCTTGGGTCAGGTGCTCTTAGTCTTCAAAGTGACAGCTTTGTTCTTTAACACTTTGAAGAAGTCTTCTGTAGCAGATCTGCCCAGTGCAGTATGTTTGATTTCTTCACTGCTGCTTCCATGGGCATTGATAGTGGATTCAAGTAAAATGAAATCCTTGGCAACTTCAATCTTTTCTCCATTTATCATGATTTAGTTTATTGGTCCAGTTGTGAAGATTTTTGTTTTCTTTCTGTTTGCACTGTAATCCACACCAAAGGCTGCAGTCTTTTATTTTCATCAGTAAGTGCTTAAGTCTTCTGCACTTTAAGCAAGCAAAGTTGTGTCATTGTGGGTTGTTAATGAGTCTTCCTTCAATCCTGATGCCACATTCTTCTTCATATAGTCCAGCTTCTCAGATTATTTGCTCAGCGTACAGATTGAGTAAGTGTGGTGAGAGGATACTAAATTCATAGTCATTTGTTACTCGGCAATAGAAAATGAGTACAGGAGCTCTGTCCCTGAAGACTTTGCAAAATCCCAGGTGTGCATTGTTAAAGGAATAAATGTGAAGGGCGGTGTGTTCTCAGAGTGCATACATCTACCATCACTGAGGACATAGTTTTGCTTTAGCTCATTTTTTGTGTTTCCCAGTATTATCTCCGGTGGTTTACAGAAGCCTTTCTTGTAAATTGGCAGCTGGAGGTAGTATGCTGTTTGTTTGACTTTCTTTCCAAGGTTTTATCACCTCCAACTCCCACCCTAAAGTTACTGGCTCGGAAGGGTGTCTTTCAGCCCTAGTCCATACATTGCTCCCTAACCACTGAACTTGGGGGAACATGATTACAGGGTGGTGGTGGTGGTTGTAAGGAGCTCTGGTGGCGCAGTGCCTAAGGCATTTGACTGCTAATCAGAAACTTGGTGCTTCTCTGTGGAAGGAAGATGAGCCAATCTACTTCTGTAAAGATTTACCGCCTGGGGGGAGGGCAGCCTATGAGTCGCAAGCAAGTCAGTGGCAGTAAGTCAGTGGCCGTGGCGGGTTTGGCGGTGGTTGTTAGTTGCCTGTGACGTGGATTCTGACTCGTGGAGACCCCTGTGTTACAGAGTAGGACTGCCGCATAGCGTTTTCTTAGCTGTAATCCTAGCAGAAGCACACCACCAGGCCTACCTTGTGCCGTGTCACTGGGTGGCTTCAAACCACCAAACTTCCTGTTATCAGTAGAGTGCTAACCGTTTGCCCCACTTAAGGACCTGGTTATAGCATGCAGACCAGATTTCAAGTTTCCTATTCCAGTATAACCTTCAAACAGAAAAAGTACAGTTTGGAAGTGGACAGCCCTCTGTAATTTTACAAACAAAACTCACTCGGGGACGCAGCATCTGGCTTGAGAAGCAGAGCCTGTCATCCCCAAGCCCTCACGCTCCCTTCTAGCCTCTCCTGCTGCAAGCGTGGTATTGACTACAACGGTGAGATGTGTGTGTCTCAGGAAGCCAGACTGTAAGGGATGGCATGAGAGAATGCTAAAACAACCCCCCCCCCCCAGTGGTCACCAAAACCGCTAGCCCCAGTCCCAGGCATGTAAACAACAGTGGAGTTTTCACAACACAGATGAATGAGGGCGCACACAGGGCCGCAACATCTGATATGTGGGACGTGTTCCTGAGTATCTCATATCACGTAGGACTCCCATAATTCAGGGCTATCTTTCTCATTGGAGTAACTTTCAAGTAGGTCATGTTATCAGAAGGGACCATGCCCTGGAGAAGGATATCATGCTCGGTAGAGTGGAGGGTCAGTGAGAAAGGGGAAGACCCTCAATGAAATGGATTGACACAGTGGCTGCAAGGACGGGCTCAAGTACGGCAAAGATTGTGAGGATGGGACATGACAGGTAGTGTTTCCTTCTGTTGTATACAGGGTGGCTATGGGTTGAGCCGACTCAATGGCACCTAACAACAGGATTGGCATGACTTCACTTTCAGTACCAAATTCTATTGACATCTTTAATGTTGCCCAGTTTTCAATGAACTCACTGCCATCGAGTCGGACCCAACTCATAGCAACTTCTCCTTGGGTTTCTGAGGCAGTATCATCACGGAAGTAGATTGCCCAACCTTCCTTCCAAAATTTTCAATTAGCATAAGTCTAATTCACACACTCCTCTCTGGACTCTGCCCTCTCTGGACCCCACCCCAACCTTTTGTGGTCTGTGAGGGACTATGTCTTAGCATCTCTGGGACCCAGTTGTGCTGATGGGCTGGGGTCTTGGACAAGGAGGCGGGGTGGTTCTGGGAGGGTTGTGGGGGCTGCCAAATTCTAGTCTTCCCTCTGCTGTGTGATCCCGGGCAAGCTCCTATCTTTCAGGGCCTCAGCTTCATCTGTAAAACGGAATGGGTTCTGGGGATAAGGAAAGGTGTCAATGTCTGAGAACCCTGGGCACACAGTAGGGGTGGGTGGAAGTTTGATGGCACCAATGCCAACCTCAGAGGGAAAAGCCTACCCTTCTGTTTCTGTCCAACACTCTCCTGTGGAGAGTGAAGCAATCAGGCCTGAGTGGGACGCCTGGAATCCAAGGCCCCAGGAAGCTCAGATGCCAGGGTCACAGGCCCATATTGGGCAAGAGCAGAGAAATGGTTTCTCTGATCCTGGTCATGGATATTTTGAGACACTGACCATTCTGGAAAATTCAGAGGCAGGAAGTGAGGGGGAGGGGGAAGGGTCAGAGGGGAAAGAGCAAACTGCACCCCGGCCCACTTGGCCTGGCCCCTCTCTCAAATCATGCAACGAAAGTTCCGTGACCAGCATGTGGTAATAGTGGGGACAGACCAGAAGACCCCCCTTTTCCAGAGAGAAGTAGAGAGGCACTCCCATCCCCCGCTCCCACCCCCACTCACTCCTGAGTTCCAGCTCTATGTCCACTTCTGTTTACTGTCCAAAGTCCTGGGCATAGGAGATGCCAAGTTAGGTGTGCTCAGACACGGATACGCAGACACACAGACACACGAGGCTCAGGGCCCTCGTATGGACCCTGCGCCCACCCCGCCGGAGTCCAGCGTTGCCCATCCACCCTAATTGTCCCAGCTGCAGCCCTCCCTTTAGGCTGGGATCTGCACAGCATCGAGGGACCCTGGAGAGAGACCTCGGGAACTTCAGCAAGTCAAACGTGTGAAGCAAGACAGGGGGAGCGAGTGAGTGGGCAAGCGTGGGGCGAGGAGGGAGGAGCGGGGGTGGGTATGACTGCTCGAAGGACGGATTTTGGCTGTCAGGCCTGTGGAGCATGGGGATGGAGGGAAGAAGGCAGGTATCCCTGCAGCCACCAGTTAGACACAGAAAGACGTGGACCCTGCCCTTCAGCTCCGGCTCCACTCAGCCTCCCTCGCAGCCTCACCCTCGGCATTAACACGGCCCGGTCCAACGCCAGCTCTGTCATGACCAAGGAGTATCAAGATCTTCAACATCTGGACAATGAGGAGAGTGACCACCATCAGTTCAGAAATGGTGAGAAGACCACTTTACCTTGTTTCTGAGAGGCAAGCGTCTGACCGTCTCGCCACCTCTGCCTCAGCCCTGGCTTCTTTCTGTGACCGGGACCCTCTCGGGGAAGGTGCAGGGTGTGGGATTAGAGTCCCTTTCTGGGTGACAGGTGCCCAAGGCCACTTCAGGCCTCCTGACCCTCACCGTGGCACCCAACTCAGGACCCTGGGGAGGGTGGGCCCAGGGGTGTGGGAATAACTGGCAGCTGGAAAGATAAGGTGATCCCTATTTGTTGTGAAGAAGTTAGGCCCCGGCCCCTCTTCCTTTTCTGTTTCAACACTCAGTGAGCCTGCGTGTGTGTGCATGTGTGTGTGCATGTGTGTGTGTGTGTGTGGGTGTATCAGGTGTTGGTGGGTTGGTGGGGTGGAGAGGTGGGGGGGTGGAGGTGGAGGTTTCTGTGAGGAGGCTGAAGATGTAGGGCTGAGAGCTCATAAAGGGACAAAGCCTTTTTAGGAGCAGCAGTGGGGGAAGAGGGAGGCAGGAAGTAGAAGTAGAAGAAAGAGTGATTCCAAGAGGGGCCCGAGTTTGCAGTGATTTAGGGAGGCAAGGAGGTAGAAGAATTGGGCCCCAGACTTCAGAAATATGTCTGAAGGGGTTTAGGTGGGAGTTCAGGGGGGTACAACAGGGCCTTGAGGGGCCTCTGATCTGAGGGTGGTGGATGAGGTCTTCCTGCATCAAAAACATTAGATTATTGTGTGAGAGAGAAATAAAGTTCAATCTTATCAAAAACAAACAAACCCAAAACAAGCTCCTCCTCTTTCTCACAGGGGTGGGGAATGTTGTTTTGGCTGAGCAAGGACTACATTCTTAGGGCATAAGTGTGGGCAGTGCTCTGTGAAGGGAGAAGGGCCGGCAGGGGAGACGACAGGAGAGAGAAGAAGAAACGCCTGCGAGGATGAGGGCCCACCCTGCAGCTCACAGAGGACAGGGCGAGAAGGGGTCATTTTCTCTGTGGGAGCAACATGAGGAGGCAAGAGCCTGGCTACTCTGCCTTTTCTCCTTGTGCTCAGCCAAGGATGAGATTCCTGGCGAGAGGAAGAAACCTCCTTCTCTTGCCCCATCATTGGGGAGATCAGTGACTCCCCATCTGACCACTCACCCCATCAGTCACTACCAGCATACAGACCTCACCCTCAAGAACACGCGGTCCTAGTCTCATCAGCTGCAGTGACGCAATCACACCGCTAGGTGGCAGCAAAGGCTGAGGGTGTGGGTGGCTGAAGGAGGTCAGCGCCTGCACTCCTCTTTCCTCCCCCACCTCCAGCTGCCTTTAGACCCTCAGGTCACTCGCTGTCCAGATTTCTTCTCCTATCTGGCTGGTACAGTTAATGCTCTTGGCTGCTGACCAAAAGGTCGGTGGTTTACGTACACCCAGAGGAAGAAGACTTCGGAATGATCAGCCATTGCAAACCTGGCGGAGCGCGGTTCTACTCGGACACGCATGAAGTCGCCAGGCTCCGCGCTGCTCTGACCTTCTGGCCCCTCTCCCCTCGCAGGGCCACCTCCTCCCCAGCCCCTTATGAGGCGTCTCTGCTCCGGACCCTGCCTCCTTCTGCTTTCCTTGGGCCTCAGCCTCCTGCTGCTGGTTGTCATCTGTGTGATCGGATCCCAAAGTGAGAGTCAGAGGGGTGGGGCTGTTTTGAGGGAGGGGCTGGCAGGGCGACAGTTATGAACGGCAGCAACGGCGCTGGGGTGGTGGCTACAGCCCCCTCATTTGGTCCTGTCCACACCCTCTCCTGCCCAGACTCCCAGCTGCAAGAAGAGCTGCGGGCCCTGAAAGAGGCGGTCAGCAACTTCACAGTAATCACTAAGGCTGAGGTCACGTCCCTGAGCACGCAGGGTGAGGGACCGGGCTGGGCAGGGTAAGGAGGCGGGGGGGGGGGGCCAGGAAATGGTGTGGACGTTGGGACACTGAGCAAACCTCTCCTCTAGGAGGCAGTGTGGGCCGGAAGATGAAGAACCTGGAGTCCCAGCTGTTGAAGCAGCAGCAGTCCATGAGTGAAGGTCAGAGGGAGAGAGTGTGTGTCCATGTGCATGGGCACGCGTGTGCGTGTATGTAGGTGTAGGTGCTCCCTCGGTTCAAACAAAGGGATCTTGGGCCACAGGCATCAGCCCTGGTCTGCAGGCCCCAGCCTGACTGGCTCCCCAGTCTGCACACTGACTTCATCTCCTACCCCTCTCCCCATCCCGCACCCCTCTGTCTTCTGCCTCACAGATCACTCCAGCTTGTTGCTCCACGTGAAGCATTTTGTGTCAGACCTGCGCAGCCTGAGCTGCCAGATAGCCATCCTCCAGGGCAACGGTGAGGATGCGGAGTGCCTAGCCCACTTCCCTGTCCACCTCTCCTCCAGGAGTGCCTTAGTCCCTTCATCCTTTGTCCCCGCAGGCACTGACAGACCCTGCTGCCCTGTTAACTGGGTGGAACATGAAGGCAGCTGCTACTGGTTCTCTCGCTCTGGAAAGCCCTGGCCCGAGGCACAGAACTACTGCCTGCTGGAGGATGCCCACCTGGCGGTGGTCACCTCCTGGGAGGAACAAGTGAGGGTCCCCAGAGGGCCTCCTCGCTCGGGGAGGGGGGCTGGTCTAGGGAGAGTCACCACCACCTTCCTTTCTCCGCAGAATTTTATCCAGCGCCACACAGGCTCTGCAAACACCTGGATAGGCCTCACTGATCAGAACGGACCCTGGAAATGGGTGGATGGGACAGACTACGAGACGGGCTTCAAGTGAGTGTGTGTGTGTGTGTTCCTGCAGCCCTAATTCCTCTGCTCAGCCAGGCTGGGCCCAGGAGCTGCTGAGGGATTTTGGCTAAGAAGGGGGCAGCTCCTGGGACCCACATCTGTTTTTTCTCCTCAGGAACTGGAGGCCGGAGCAGCCAGATGACTGGTATGGCCATGGCCTCGGAGGAGGAGAGGACTGTGCCCACTTCACTGATAATGGTCGCTGGAATGATGATGTCTGCCAGAGGCCCTACCGCTGGGTCTGTGAGACAGGACTGGACAAGGCCAGCTAGGACCCTCTTCTCCCCTAATTTATTTCCTCAATGCCTTGACCTGCCCAGGATTGGGGATCCTCTTGTCTGGGGGCCTCCTCCACCTTCTCAGGATTTTCATCTAGAATTTTCAGGGAAGGGCAGGATGGTGGCTGAGGAATGTAGAATGATGTTTGGAGGCGTGGGGAGATTGAGACCTATGTCACTTCCTGTAATTTGCTACAAAGGTTATTATTGTCATTTTTTTTTTTTTTTTTTTTTTAGAGTAAAAAGAAAAGAAATAGACTTAAACGTTCTATGAGTTGCCTGGTTATTGGGGACTAGGATTGAGAGTGGGTTGGTTGGTATTAGGAGGCCTTGGAAAGGCAGCATGGTGTCATAGAACTGCCTACCCTTGAGCCAGGTGGCCTGGGTTAGGAACTGGATTTATTATTTACTAGCATATGAGTCTGGGCAAGTTATTCCACTGTCTGGATCTCAGCTATCCATTACAACTGTTACAAGGGACAGTTTTACTTGTAGCAATACCCCGGGAACAGAATCACTCCAAAGCGTTGAGTGCTTCAAAAGCCTTGAATAGAACTCACTGGTGTTTGTTGGATTCATTTCAGTTAACAGAAGCAGCAGCTTAACAGGCTAACGGGGAACTTGAAATACAAAGAGAAGCCCACACCCAAGAGCCACCCCACACGTGAGGAAAAGCAGTGCCTTGGGAGAGGAGCACCACAATCAACAACCAAGGAGCAGAGTTAAAGGACGACCAGATTTAAATTTTACAGACAATGTAAGGGATTATTAACAAACACTGACAAAGCATTAATTCACAAAGAAGACCTCTAACTCCCCAAAAGAGCGTTGCTCTGACCGTGATAAAATCAAGCCAGAAATGATCACAGAAGTATAGCAAAAAAAAAAAAAAAAAAAAAATCTAGCAACATATAAATTTCTTACACACTTTTGGAAAAATTCTGAATTTGGGAGAAAATCAAAATGAAAAAGTGATTTAGAAATTAACAACGAGAGTACCATATATTGAAATTATGGGATGGTCTGAGTTCTCAGGAGGAAATGTATGGCTGTAGTGCATTATTTAAAAAATGAGAAAGGCTGAATCAAAGTCAGCTGAATTTTAAGCTCATAAGCTTGAAAGAAAAAACAAACAAAAATGAAAAACAAAACACCAAACCCGTTCCCACTGAGTCAGTTCCATGTTCCAGAGTAGAACTGCTCCATACGGTTTTGCCGACTGATCTTTACAGAAAGGAGCCTTGGTGGTGCAGTGGTTAAACACTCAGCTGCTACCTGAAGGGCAGCGGTTAGAACCCACAGCCTCTCTGCAGGAGAAAGGTGTGGCAGTCTGCTGCTGTGAGATCTAATGCCTTGGAAATCCTATGGGCCAGTTCTCCTCTGCCCTGTGGGGTCACTGTGACCTGACAGCATGGGTTGGTTTGTTTGTTGACAATCTTTACAGAAGCAGCATTTGCCCAGGTTCCTTTCTGTGGCATCGCTGGTTGGGTTCAAACGGCCAGCCTTCAGGTCAGTAGTTCAGTACAAACCATTTGCGACACTTCGGCACCTCAAAGAAAAATAAAAAAACAAAACCTGTTGACATTGAGCTATTTGAAGAACATAGGAAGAAACACGTGATCATTAGCCGTTGTTGTTGTTGTTGTTGTTAGGTGCCATGGAATTGGCTCTGACTCATAGCAACCCTGCACACAACAGAACGAAACACTGCCCGGCCCCTGCACCAGCCTCACAATGCTTGCTAGGCCTAAGCCCATAGGTGCAGCCATTGTGTCCGTCCATCTCATTGAGGGTCTTCCCCTTCTTGGCTGACCCTCTACTTTACCAAGCATGATGTCCTATTCCAGGAATGGTCCCTTCTGACAACATGACTGAAGTAGGTGAGATCAAGTCCCGCCATTTTCTCTTCCAAGGAGCCTTCCAGCTGCACTTCTTCCAGGACAGATTTGTTCGTTCTTCTGGCAGTCCATGGTATTCTCAGTATTTTTTGCCAGCACCATGACTCAAAAGCATCAACTCTTCTTCAGTCTTCCTTATTCACTGTCCAGCTCTCACGCACATATGGGACAATCGGAAAGAACATAGCTTCGGTCAGGTGCAGCTTCGTCTTCAAAGTGACATCTTTGCTTCTTAACACTTGAGAGAGGTCGCTTGCGGCAGACTTTCCCAGTGCAATATCATGTCCAATTTTTTGACTGCTGCTTCCTTGGATGTTCACTGTGGAGCCAAGTAAAATTAAATCTTTGAAAATTTCAATCTTTTTTCTGTTTATCATGATGTTACTTATTGGTCCAGTTCTGAGGATTTTCATTTCCTTTATGTTGAGGTGTAACCCATACTGAAGATTGTAGTCTTTAATCTTCATCAATAAGAGCTTCAAGTCATCTTCACTTTCAGCAAGCAAGGTTGTGTCATCTGAATATTGCAGGCTGTTAATGAGTCTTCCTTCAATCTTGATGCCACGATCTTCTTCATATATAGTCCACATTCTTGGATTATTTGCTCAGCATATAGATTGAATAAGTATGGTGAAAGGATATCACCCTGATGCACACCCTTCCTAATTTTAAACCATGCAGTGCCCCCTTGTTCTGTTCGAACAACAGCCTCCTGGTCCGTGTACAGGTTCCTCATGAGAACAGTTAAGTGTTTTGGAATTCCCATTCTTTGCAATATTATCCATAGTGTGTTATGATCCACACAGTTGAATGCCTTTGCATAGTCAATAAAACACAGGTAGACATCTTTCTGATATTCTTTGCTTTCAGCCAAAATTCATCTGACATCAGCAATGATATCCCTTGTTCCATGTTCTCTTCTGAATACAGCTTGCCTTTCTGGAAGTTCCCTGTCAATGCTGCAACCATTTTTTAATTATCTTCGGCAAGATTTTACTTGCATGTGATATTAATGGTATTGTTTGATAATTTCTACATTCTGTTGAATCACCTTTCTTTGGAATGGGCACAAATATTGATCTCTTCCAGTCAGTTGGCCAGGTAGTTGTCTTCCAAATTTCTTGCCATAGACGAGTCAGTGCCTCTAGTGCTGCATCTGTTTGTTGAAACATCTCAATGGATATTCTGTCAATTCCTGGAGCCTTGTTTTTTGCCAATTCCTTCAGTGCAGCTTTGACTTCTTTCTTCAATACCATAGGTTCTTTCTTTTCTTCTTAACTCTTATTGTGGTGAAAACACCAAGATATTCACCAGCATAACAACTTACACATTTATAATGCAGGTATATTGGTGATATTTACTTATTTAATTTATTAAAAAATTTTTTTTATTGTGATTTAGGTGAAAGATTACAGAATAAATTCATTTTCCATACAGCAGTTCATACACATTTTGTTTCATGACAGTGACTGCAATTCTCCCGAATGTCACAGCTCTCTGCCCACTTCCTCCCTGTAGCTGCCTCTTCCCTGTGTCTTCTTCCCTACGCATCCCTGCCCCCTGAGCTATCTCCCTGTGCAAATACTGCCCTTCTATTCTCCCATGATTGATCATTCTAAGGAGTGTATCTAGCTGATAAAAATTTCACCCTATATGCTTGTTTGTTGTTTGGCTGGAAGCCACAGGAGTGAGTTCGAGTCCAGACCTGAAGGGTAACTTGGGGCCATAGTCTCGGGAATCTCACAAGGCTCTATCAGACCAGCAAACCTGTTTTTTTTCCCCATGATTTTGAGTTTCTTCTCAAATTGTGCTCCCACTTTACCCAAGATCTTCTGCATTGATCCCTTTCTGAGTGGTTGACAGTTGTAGCTGGGCACCATCTAGTTCTTCTGGTCTTGTGGTCATAAAGACTTAGGTTCACATGGTCCACTAGTCCCTTGAACTAATTGTTTCCATGTATCTTTGGTTTTCTTCGTTCTTCTTTGCTCTGGATGAGGAGAGACCCATCGTTACATCTAAATGGCCATATGCAAGCTTTTAAGACCCTAGTTACTAATCACCAAAATAAGATGTAGAACAACGTTTTTGTGTAGCATGTTAATTTTCAGTACATCTTGATTTTATTGTGGTGAAAACACCCAGATATTCACCAACATAACAACTTACATATTTCCAGTGCAGGTACATTGGTGATATTTACTTATTTAATTTATTAAAAGATTGATTGATTGATTGCATGTTTGGTCAGACTGTGGAAGTTGGCAAAAATCTTCATCTTTGGCTTTAGTGGATGGTGCTTAACTTTGAACAGTAATAGTATTAACTGGTCTTCTTTGTAGGCATATGAATATTATCCTATCACTGGTTGTACTTTGTACTTTGTACTGCATTATACTTCAGGATAGACCTTGAGATGTTCTTTTTAACAATGAATGCAATACCATTCCTCTTCAATTTGTCTTTTCTGGCACAATAGACCATATGATTGTCTGACTCAAAATGGCCAATACCAGTCCATTTCAGCTTACTAATGCCTAGGATATCAATCTTTATCCATTTCATTTCATTTCTGAAAACTTCCAATTTTCCTAGATTCATACTTTGTACAATCCATGTTCCAATTATTAATGAATGTTTGCAGCTGTTTCTTTCCATTTTGAGTCTTATCAGCAAATGAAGGTCCCAAAAGATTTGCTCCATCTATGCCATTAAGGTCAACTCTACTTTGGGGAGGTAGCTCTTCCCCAGTTGTATTTTGAATGCCTTCCAACCTGAGGGGCTCATCTTCAGACACAACATTTCATAAAGTTTTCCAGTAATATGTCAGACGTTATTTCACTGCTATTCATAAGATTTTCTGTGGCCAGTTTTTTTTCAGAAGTTGAGGGCCCCATCCTTCTTCCCATTCTGTCTTCCTCTGGAAACTCTGCTGAAACCTGTCCACCATGGTTGACCCTGCTGATATATGAAATACCAGTGGCATAGCCTTCAGTCTGATAGCAATACACAAGCCACCACAGTATGACAAAATGACAGATGAGTGGTCTCAATTAGCCATTGTTGTTGTTGTTGTTGTTATTTGCCATTGAGTCGCCC